AGTTCTTTATATAGTCTTTCAAATTTAAAACTGTTTAGCCTTATTGAATAATATGCCTCATTTTCAATAATTATTAACTTAACTTAAATCTGCTCACCATAAAGAACATCCATACTTATTCATGTGCCTACTACATAAATAGAACAATACATGGAAACATAAACCCTCCACTCAAACTTCTTACTAACCTTAACAGGACACACGACCATAACACAAGACACAGATCTCTTTTTGATGTACCCTGTGTCCATATCACACTCTGTAAAAGCTCTGTACATAAAGGGCCCCAAAATTTGGAATTCATTACCAGAAAATACTAAAGAAACCGGTCTGAAAATAAATTTAAGACTTCTCAATAGCCACTTAATCACCCTAGACTAAATACTCAGTACTCAGTATTTAACTTTACCAATAAATCTCCCAGTTGCCTCATTCTTAAAACTTCAAGACTAGACGACCAAGTTCATACATTGACTAATACGGCATAGTAGTATGAATACCTACCCTAAACAATATTGCCCTACACCAAATGTAGCATCTCCATAACATAACTACTTTTAGGCAAATCACAATGTTATCATTCCCATTAATTATAATCTCAATAATTATTTTTTTTGAACTATTGTCCATTGTTGACAGGAATATAATTGAATCATGTTCATAAAAAGCATTTTTGAAAATATGAATAAATCCTTTGGTTTATATAAATTAGATTCATTTATAATTAATAGAACTATTGTACAACTATGATAAATTTCTTTAGTGTTAAGTAGTCAGTAAGCCATTAAATTAAGTAGGCCCATAATGCCTAGGCATAATAGAGGCTCTCTTTGCACTGCAGCTCGTTATTGTAAATACATAATCTCAATGTACTACTTGCAAAGAAATATGCTAATACGGACATTTCAAATTATGACCAAAACTCGCTATATGGCTCCCCCCACCTGACTCTCTAATACAGTCGCCACGTCCCACCTAGTTTGTGTACATTCTCCGTGAGCACCGCATCTCTTCATTATGTCTGGAAACTTTCCAGAATTTCAAGTGTTTTAAAGTTATTTCATGTTTTATATCTTTCTTCTTTCAATGCATTAGCCGTATCCCACCGAGGCGAGGTGGCCCAAAAGGAAAGTTTCTCTTCTAAAGTTCAGTAATATATACAGTAGAAGGGGTTACTAGCCCCTTGCTCCCTTCATTTTAGTCACCTCTTACGATTTTATATAGTTTATGTCACCCTGCCTCGGTGGGAGACGGCCGACTTGTTCAAAAAAAAAAAAAAAAATGTACATACTCTGATAATTATACTTACGTGTACCTGTACCTAAATAAACTTACACACTGTGCTGGCATGCAGGTACACATTAAAATCACTAAGTGTGTCTTAGGCGCATTAATGTCATATACAGATATTGACGAATGTATTAATAATTTTCTAAAAAAGACCCAATACCTCTATAACAAGCACTGCCCTAAAAAACTAAACAGATGACAGCTAAGAGACTGAACAGTCCCTGGCTAACACCCCGCATTCTCAAATCATAAATACAAAACACAATATGAAAAACAGTACTTCAGAATGGGTACATAACAGAGACCAAACAAAAACGCTTACTCGTCAATCCTAACCAGCCTGATAAGAAGGGCAAAAAAATTGTATTATGAGAACAGATTATCCAACTTATGAGGTGATATAAAAAATACCTGGAAAACCCCTATCCGAAATTCTGGGAACAAAAAAGATATCATGAAATGCGAAATAAAATTAGCAAAATCAGATGAACCCCTACTACCACCAACAGAAACAGCAAACAGACTCAATGATTATTCTCACTATAGGACAAAAACCTTGCAATAAATCCAAGCTCATTAACCACCAAATGACTAACCTCACCGGCCAACTACCGAACCACATGTTCTAGCTCCGTACTAAACCCATACGACGTCTTCCAATTTATTATCAACGCACTAAAAAACAAGGCAGAGATTTAAAATTACCTTACCACCCTTTATAAACAAAAAGTGTCACAAGTGCTATCACCAATCATTGCAACACTCTAACAAATACATTTGAAATCCTCCACCTTCCTACAGTTCCAAAATAGCAAGGGTCACCCGATCCACAAAGGAGGAGAGCAAACAGAAGTTGAATAACTATAGGCCCAATATTCACACTTACACCCTCTCTCAAAAATCTTCGAAAAATTAATTCATAAACGAATCTACTCCTACCTTATCTCCCACAAAAACATACTCAACCCCTGCCAATTTGGATTCAGGCCTAATAAAAATTACTCATGATGGCTATTATACACATGCTAGAACATATAATACATGAATAGAGAAAAAAAGAAGTCCCACGGGGATCTTCATTGACTTACGTAAGCTTTTGTAACAGTTGACCATGAACTTGCTCCATCGTAAATTGTCACACTATGGGTATAAGAGGGCACTCCCTCAACTACCTCAAGTCATCCTCCGGCAACAGGAAGCCAAATATGTGTACGCAAATGGGGCAAACTCTTTGCAAACCATTCAGTTGGTGTCCCACAGGGAAGTGTCCTTGGCCCTCTTCTCTTTCTCCTTATACGTACATAAATGACCTTACCAAATGTTCGCAATTATCCAAAACCCACACTATTTGCAGATGACAACAATACGGTCTTCTCCACACCGAGCCAAGTTAGCTTGCCAATACTGTAAATACCCGAATTACAGAAAATATCTACCTGGATGAGGACAAACAAACTTACACTAAACATTGAAAAACTACTTCATTCAGTTTGGTAACAAGCTACAGGTCCCTCTTAACAAATGATAAACGGATCACCTATCACAAGCTAAAAAGGGGGAAAATTCTTGGGAATCCCCCTTTTGAAAATAGACCAAATTTCAAAAACACATATACAACAAATTTCTAAAAAAAATTTCCAAGACTTGGGCAAACTTTTGAAAATACGGACTATGCTCCCAGCCCACCCTCCGGGCCCTATATCACCTCTTATTTACCCCTACCACCATGGAATTTTTGCATGGGCTAAACAACAATAACCATTCAGACCACAAATTACCCAACAAAAGGCTGCAGTTAAAAATGATAAAAAAAATTCTCCTAAGGCCGCCACTCCACCAAATTCAAACCTAAACCACCACCATACAAAACATCCATACTTATTACGCACCTATTACAAAATAACATTTAACTCTGATATTAACCCTCCCCCAAACATCTCCTTGCCAACCTCAACAGAACACATGACCATAAAAAAAGGGCACAGACACTCTTTGTTTTCCTGTGTCCATCTCTCACTATGCAAAAACTCAATCAAAAAAAAGGCCCTAAAATCGGGAAATTTCATTACCTGTAAAATAAAAGAAACACACCTTTTATAAATTCAAGCCCTCTTCTAAAAGACATTTTACTCACCCAAAACCAAATAAATACGAATAACTAAACCCTTAAAAATTTGTATATTTTTAAATTTTTCTCAAAATTAATCACATAAATGTTAAACCAAAAACCCCCAATCTAACTTATTTTTTTTTAAAATACACTACCAAACAAGTATTTCCATCCCCTGAAGTACAAAAATTTCATGAAACCCAAAATTGACCGTCTTTGTAATACCACTTGGCTTTATAGAAAACTTTTACATTAATTTTTATCACTTTTTCATCTTTGCTTAGTTAATCTTAATTTTAATTTTAAAGCCACCCGTAATGCTAGCATATATAAGTGGTTTTGGCATGCTGCTCTTACTTTTTTTTTTGACCTCTGTATGTGTCCAAATTTGAAATAAATAAATAAATAAAAAAAAAATTAATCCACTATGATTTTTTTTTTCAAATTATATAATAAATAGCTACGTAACATAAAACATGATAAATACACCCCACAGTAGAAAAAATTAAAATTTAATGTGAGATGCATGTGTATAAACCCAAAAAACCAGACGGTTCATCTGCTTGTTTACAAAATTTCACGTCTCTCTCCTCTTTCATTTATTTTCTTCTCTCCTCTCTTTGTTTGATTAACCCTTGTTTACCATTTTCCCCCCTACATTAAAAACTACAAAATGTATTTTAGGTAAGTGATAGTGACGTTTTTGCATTTTATCACTCTAGGCCACTTTAATGTCAAGCATATTACATGTGGGTTTGGGTGACCTGGTCTGGCTGGCTACCATACCTCCCACACCTGACTTCCTACAAAAAATACTGCTCCCCTTCACCCTACATTAAGATTCCCAAAATTTTTTAAGGGGTAAGTACGAAAAAAAAAAATTGTTTTTATCACTCGGGCACTTAAATTTTAATAGTATATTACTTGGGGTGGTGGTCTGCGGGTTTACCATACCACCACCCGGGCTTTTACAAAAAATGCTACCATGTCTAACCCAAAATTAATCAAAAATATTTTAAAGAAGTAATAGTGACTGTGTGTGGTTTTTTACTTTTTTTTTCTTTTAATGCCTAGTTCTTTTGCTAACTTAATATATGTTAGTGAAAACTGTTATCTGGCATTTATATGCATTTATAAGGGGAAAAAATGGTGTCTGTTTTTCTGGCATGACCCTTTCCCCGGCGGTAGCCTTGAATTTAAACATCCCTTTAAAGAGAGGCCCTACTAATATGGCAAAACACTATAAAAGTTTGACTAAAGAAAAACACTATTAAAAAAAGGAACCCCCAAAACATTTTTAGGCTTTTGTAAATTTGCAGCATCTGTGTAAGAGCTACCATAGTTCCTTTTAGGTCGGGAAACAGGACAAGTGTTTCCTGATGCAGGTCTTAGATGATAAAGCTTTTGGTCATCTGACAGAGACCTTCCACTGGCTTACTGGTCCACCCCTTTAAAAATTATGCTCATAGTTATAACCATTTACAGCCTCTGAAGTTTGTGAGTAAACACAAAAAACACCAAGTGTTAAATTTTTTTTTTTTTTTTTTGCATCCTAGTATGTTTCTTAAAAAAAAATCTTATTAATTTTTTGTGTTTCCAGAGGTGCCTTCCTGTTTACATTGGTCACCTTCACTATAGGCAATGGCATTTATGCCATTCTTAGTGTGTTTGGATCTTCAGCACGGATTGTCATGATCTTGTCTCGCTTTCTTGTGGGCATGAGTTTCAGGTATGTTGAGTAAAGTGGTATACACCACAAACAATCACATCCACCTCACTTCAAACACAGACAGAGATTGTTTTTGGGATTTACTGCTCCAAAGAATGAAGACACATTCAGCATCACTCACCCCTTAGTTCTCTTTCCATGAAGCACTGATATTGCAGTCACAATGGCCAAAAAAAATTCAACAAATGTTGCCTGTAATTTTTACTTATTTTCCCTTTCTTGTCATTCAATTCTTCTCTCTGCCAGAAATCCCAAATCACTGACTCAGCCAGCTTTTTTCAAAACTACATTAGAAAACCCCTTATCTCCCAATGTTTTCTAGTATCAACAATATTATGTAAAAAACAATATATGCATTTTCCATGCACAAACAATTAAAACTTTATAAACAAAAAAACTTACTCTCCTGTTGTAACACCTCAATCGTTAAACAGTTGATTGTGCCCCCTTTTAGGTAAAAATAAAACCCGTAATTCCTCTCATTAAAACTTGTTAAAGCCAAAATTTATACTTTTATTTTGAGGAATTGTTAAATGTTGATGAAATAGGGGAACGTGATTTCGTGATGGGGCAAGGGGAATAACATTTTGGGAGTGAGGAAGAGCCATTGTGGGGGGGGGGGAAGTTTCGTGGGCAGTGGGTAAAATAAAAGGGGGGAAAGGCACCCGGGATTGGGGGAAAAGAAAAATGTTAAAAGCGGTGGGATTAGTTTTGGAGGGGTTGGTGAATTTTTTAAAAATGTATGGAAGGGGGTAAGGTACCTAGGAGGGGCGAGGCATGCTGTTCCTTTGTAAAAAAAAGGGGGAAAAAAGGAGTAAAAAAAAATTTTAAGGGGATAAGTCCGTTGAGTGTACCTGGAAAGTGTATGGTAGAGTTTAATTGAAAGAAAAAAGAGAAGAAAGAAATAGGAAGCAGTAACAAGGAGCTTTTAGAAAGGTAGGGGGGGCTGGACCAGGGTTTTTCAGTGAAACAATAAGTGACAGTAATTTTGATAAGGCAAAGAGGGTTTTGGGCATTTTGGATTGGGAAAAAGGAAATGACAGGGGGGTAGGGATGCAAGTGGGAATGTTGCAAATGTATGGGGTAGAGGTAGGTACGAAAGCGTGAAGAGTTTTTACGAGGGTAGTGAGGGGTCAAGTTTGAGTATGTAGGAAAAAGGGGAAATTTTTTCCCATAAAAGTAGCCTTAGACAAGGATGTGTGATGTCACCGTGGTTGTTTATATATTTTTGATGGGGTTGTAAGAAAATAATGGGGTCTTCAAAGGCGTGGAGTTAAAAATAAAGAACACACACAAAGTGGGAGTTGTCACAGCTGCTCTTTGCGATAACGTCTCTTTGGGGGATTCGAAGAGAAATGCGAATTTGGGGATGAATTTTTTAGGGTGGCAAAAGAAAAAAATTTAAAGTGAAAAAGGAAAGAGTAAGGTTATAGGATAACAAAAAATTAGGGAAGAAAGATTTTAAAATCAATTGGAGGGGAGAGTATGGAGGAGGGAACGATTTAGATTTTGGGAGTGGACCCGGGCAGGGAGGGTCATAAAGATGAGGTGAATCATAAATTGATAGGGGAAAAAAAAATGATGGTGCACTTTTGGAGCTGTGGGGACAAAAACTTTTTCCTTTGGGGGCAAAGAGGGGGAAAGTAAGAGTATGTTTTACCAACCTCTTAATGGGTGGAACGTGGGGGATAAAATTGCACGAGGGGAAAGGGGAGGGGGTGGAGAGCATGTCTGAGGAATGTGTGGGTGAAATTAAAGAAATTCTAGTTGGAAGTTAGGAGAGGTGCGGGATTTCCAAAACGTTTTCCAGAGGGCTAGGAAGGGTTGTTGAGGTGGTTTTGGACATGAGAAGAAGGAGCGAAACAGAAAAACTTCAAGAGTGTATCATCTGTAGTGGAAAGGGAAGGGGGGGTAGGGTCGGGCCCAGGAAGGGTTGGAGGGAGGGGTAAAGGAGGTTTTGTGTGGAGGGGGTTGACTTTCCCGCAGGCATCGGACGTTTGATAATGAATGGAGACAATGGTTTTTTTAAAACTTGACGGCTGTTGGAGTGTGAGCAAAAATAAAATTTATGAAGGATTCAGGAAACCGGAGGGCCCCACTTGAGTCCTGGAGAGGGGAATACATGCCTGCCTCAAGGAGGGGTTTAATGTTGCATTTAAAAAAAGTATTAAAGCACCCTTCTGGGAAGACATGTGGAGTGAATATGGGAAAAATTTTCTTTTTCGGGGCCCCCCGCCTTTGGGGGGAACGGCCGGGTGATAATAAAAAAAAAAAACTTTTTTGTTATTTTCTTATTTAAACTTAAGTTTTCTTAATTTCCCGAAATGTTCTCATATTAGGGGGAAACCATTTCCCAGGGAGGATAGAACCGTGCGGATCATAAAAAACCAAACCCAACCATTTGGCTGGGGTTTTATGATTCTCTGCTTGGATCTATCCCCACCCATGGTATGGTTTTTTGCAATCGTTCATTTCAGTTTTGTGAGTCATAATAGGGGCTTTTTGATTACACCAAAAGTCATTTTCTTAACACATTGATCATGCTGAAATGAACTATTTTATTAATATTTTTATTTTTTTTTTTTGCAAGTTTGGGCCCTTCCCACTGAGGCAGGGGACCCCAAAAAAAAAGAAAATCCCTAAAAAAAAATACTTTCATCATCATTCAAAACTTTCACCTCACTCACACATTACTTTTTTTCAGAGGGGCTCAGAATACAACAGTTTTTGAAGCATATACGTATAAAGATGCACAACAAAACCCCCCAAAAGCCAAAATCCCAAACCCCTCCTTTAAAGTGCAGGCATTGTACTTCCCCTTTCCAGGACTCAATCTGGCATATAAAAAAACCGGTTTCCCTAAATCCCTTCACTAAATATTACCCTGCCACACCCAGCAGCTCGTCAGGGGCCCAAATCCCTTTTACCCCATTCACTCCCATCGAACACCTCACGCACGCTTGCGGAAGTCCAAGCCCCTCGCCCACAAACCTCCTTTTGCCCCTCCCCCAACCTTTTTGCGGACGACCCCCCCCCCCCTTTTTTCCCCTACAGATTTTTTAAAAGCTCCCTGTCATTCACTTTGATCCTTTTTCCTAAAGACCAAACCACCTCAACAAACCCCCCTTCAGCCCCCTGACAAGTTTATTAACCCACACCTCCTAATTTTCCCCACTCCAAATTTTTTTGCATAAATTTAAAACCACACATTGCCCTTAGACAACTCTCCACTGCCTCCACCTCCTCCTCTCTTCAGTATTTACAACCTATGCTTCACGCCCCCATTTTAGAATGTTTGGGAACCACTAACTCTCGACATTCCCCCTTTTTTTCCTCCATGGATAACATTTATTTCTATTTTTATTATTAATTATTTTTATTACTATTCAAAATGAACACAAAAATGACTTGGCTAGAGGAGAGCTTGTAGAATCTCCTTTTCTGGGGTGATGATGTTCACCCACAGAATTTGAAGGTTGGTAATTTTTTATAAAAATAAATTCTTTTAAAATTTAGTTTTGAAAATTTCGGATTTTTTAGGTTGATAAATTGAGGTTTGAACCTGTCATTAGTACAGAAATAAATGCTGCTTTGGTCTTCAAAAATATACCAAAAATATGGAAAAAACCTTGGAATAAATACCGAAAGTTTTTAGAAAACACATAAGCAAACACTATGACATATTTATTAGAAGACGTTTCGGTCCTGGGACCTTGATCACTTCTGATGGTGCCCAGCGCTTCTGGGCACCATCAGTCAACCCCACCTCAAACACTCAGGTGACCTTCTCTCCCGAATTTCCAACCTGAATGTTAAAAACAAAAGCATTGCTTCCTTCGATGTCACAGCCCTCTTTACCAACATTCCTACTGATGCTGCAATCAACATTCTGAGACAGAGGCTCACTGAAAACCATGACTTCCCTTTACCTCTTCTAGATTTCATCAATCTAGTGGATCTTTGTGTTAATTTCAACTTCTTCAAGAATCAGGACAGCTGTTACAAACAGTGCTTTTGGATGGCAATGGGCAGCCCGCTCAGTGCTGTGCTTGCCAACCTCTTCATGGAAAACCTAGAGACAGAGAAATTCAGCACCCTCATTCCCAACACCGTTACCTGGCTAAGACACAGTGATATATTGGTTTTCTATCCGAGACGTCTCAATATCCAGGCCCTTCTCAACAAGATCAATGCAGCCAAACCATCAATAAAGTTTACACTTGAACTCGAAAACAATGGAAAACTTCCTTTCCTCAACGTTCTCCTGTGCAGATCTCCCGACAGTGACAAACTTCTCTTCAAAGTGTATAAAAAACCTACCAACAAGGACGATCTTATACACTTTTATTCACACCAAGACACCTGCACTAAAAGAGGAGTCCACATTGGCTTCTTCTTGAGAGCTCTTCACATCTCCAGCCCTTGTTTTCTTGAAGAAGAAGGTGCTTACGTAACACAAGCCTTTACACGTCTTCAGTTCCCATCTTTCTTCATCCGAGATTGCAGACTCAAGGCACAAGCTATTCTCAACAAACCGCCCATGGAACAGCCCCCTAAGCAGTTCATAGTACTCCCATGTGGTGATGTTGCCAGGAATACTCGCCGGGCACTTGCTATGAGTAACATTAACGTTTCCACCATAAACACATCATCTATCAAAGACCTCACTACGAAACGCAGCCCCACACCTCAAACTTCTACAGCAGGCATCTACATTAACCCCTGTGGATTCTGTCCCAAGAAATATGTAGGCGAGACAGGCAGAGATCTTGCAGTCTGCATGAATGAGCATCGAAATGCCTCTAACAGAGACGATGTAAGGTACGCCTGTGTCCTCCACAGAGACTCCATGGGGCACTTGATAAACTGGAATGAGGCACAACTCGTTCTCACTGAACCAGACCTCAGACGCCGACAGTGCCTAGAAGCCTCACTAATCACCATCACCGACACTATAGAACGTAACACTGGAAACTACAAAATTTCAAAAACATTGGCATACATGATACTTAAGCACCACCAACCCAACAACCTGGAGTTTACCTGGAGAGAGTTCCGGGGTCAACGCCCCCGCGGCCCGGTCTGTGACCAGGCCTCCTGGTGGATGAGAGCCTGATCAACCAGGCTGTTACTGCTGGCTGCACGCAAACCAACGTACGAGCCACAGCCCGGCTGGTCAGGTACCGACTTTAGACAACACAGGAGTCGCATGATTTCATCGTCTACCTGTCCTCATCCCAACATGACATTCTTCAGGTCACCGTGCGTCACTCACACCTCACTCTCCGCCTATATATATAATGTCTTTCTATCTCTGTATGTTAGAAGTGATCAAGGTCCCAGGACCAAAACGTTTTCTAATAAATATGTCATAGTGTTTGCTTACGTGTCTTTCTAAACCATGAAGAAACATAGAGCACTTTGCATACTTAATTGCTGTACTGTATTTTTATAAATATTTTTTTTTTTTTTTTTTTTTTCAACAAGTCGGTCGTCTCCCACCGAGGCAGGGTGACCCAAAAAAGAAAGAAAATCCCAAAAAGAAAATACTTTCATCATCATTCAACACTTTCACCACACTCACACATTATCACTGCTTTTGCAGAGGTGCTCAGAATACAACAGTTTAGAAGCATATATGTATAAAGATACACAACATATCCCTCCAAACTGCCAATATCCCAAACCCCTCCTTTAAAGTGCAGGCATTGTACTTCCCATTTCCAGGACTCAAGTCCGACTACGTATATGAAAATAACCGGTTTCCCTGAATCCCTTCACTAAATATTACCCTGCTCACACTCCAACAGATCGTCAGGTCCCAAGTATCATTCGTCTCCATTCACTCCTATCTAACACGCTCATGCACGCTTGCTGGAAGTCCAAGCCCCTCACCCACAAAACCTCCTTTACCCCCTCTTTCCAACCCTTTCAAGGACGACCCCTACCCCTCTTTCCTTCCCCTATAGATTTATATGCTTTCCATGTCATTCTACTTTGATCCATTCTCTCTAAATGACCAAACCACCTCAGCAACCCCTCTTCTGCCCTCTGACTAATGCTTTTATTAACTCCACACCTCCTAATTTCCACACTCCGAATTTTCTGCATAATATTTACACCACACATTGCCCTTAGACAGGACATCTCCACTGCCTCCAACCGTCTCCTCGCTGCTGCATTTATCACCCAAGCTTCACATCCATATAAGTGTGTTGGTACTACTATACTTTCATACATTCCCTTCTTTGCCTCCATAGATAACGTTTTTTGACTTCACATATACCTCAACGCACCACTCACCTTTTTTCCCTCATCAATTCTATGATTAACCTCATCCTTCATAAATCCATCCGCCGACACGTCAACTCCCAAGTATCTGAAAACATTCACTTCTTCCATACTCCTCCTCCCCAATTTGATATCCAATTTTTCTTTATCTAAATCATTTGATACCCTCATCACCTTACTCTTTTCTATGTTCACTTTCAACTTTCTACCTTTACACACATTCTCAAACTCATCCAGTAACCTTTGCAATTTTTCTTTAGAATCTCCCATAAGCACAGTATCATCAGCAAAAAGTAACTGTGTCAATTCCCATTTTGAATTTGATTCCCCATAATTTAATCCCACCCCTCTCCCGAACACCCTAGCATTTACTTCTTTTACAACCCCATCTATAAATATATTAAACAACCATGGTGACATTACACATCCCTGTCTAAGACCTACTTTTACCGGGAAGTATTCTCCCTCTCTTCTACACACCCTAACCTGAGCCTCACTATCCTCATAAAAGCTCTTTACAGCATTTAGTAACTTACCACCTATTCCATAAACTTGTAATGCTGTAATTGCTTCATCTTTTATGTCTTAGGATTTTTTCTGTAAGACTCACTCATAAGTAAACTGTTGCTCAATTCTACCCATTGTTCACAGCTAACATTGCTATAGTGCGGTCCTATATATCTGCTTCCACTACCACAGCTGAGAGAACAACCGCAGTTGCATTAACATCAGCTGCACAAGGCCTTGGATTTATTATTGGCCCTGGTAAGTGATATGTTCTTTGATTTAATAAATATAACATGCATTTAAAACTGCTAATCACCAAACTAATTTTTTAGGAGAGAAAAACATAGGCTATTAACTACTCAGAGGACCATTATTTGTAGGTAGTTTTTATTTAAATGAGCATTCATGTAGTTCCTTCCTATAACATTATTTTTTAATTAATCCAGACTCAATATCTCTCTATAAATTGATACATAAGCCTGAGACAAACTACCAAAACACTTTGGTTTTGTAATATAAAGTCACAATACCATAACTGAAACAATTCACAACTAACCTATAATTTAAAGGGAAGCTTTAGAGAGAGTTTCATCCTGGACCATTATTAAGTTGCAACTCACTTTGTTTTTCAGTTTTTGACCAACTTTGCTCCACTCAGCCACTTGCTCTTTACAACTGCATACAGGCTACTTTAAGCTCTCTTTTCTAAAGCAACTATATAGTAAGATTTTTTGTAAATGCAATTGATAGCAACCATATGCATAGTTCTTACTTTTGATTAAGTTCTCACTTTACCACCCATCTTCATGCCAGTTCTGTTATTGTCTTAAGGATCAAAGTTTGGATGAAATTTGTATTATTATCACATACTTTTTGGATAATTATATTACCATTCTCTGCATGTTATCATTCAACTTTAAAAACATCTTACATATCAGCATTCTATTACATTCTGGTCTCAGTGATTTTGAAACTCCTTGCACAACCAATTTTTTCTGCATATTATATGCAGCTCTTCAAATTTTAGGTATACATATGCTGTATGTATTTACACCCTCAGAACTGCTATATTCCAAGAGATACAAACCAGCTTCTCTCAGATTTAATGTTGCATGCCCTATTATGTACGTTTCTATTGCCTTGTATGTACATTTCTTTATTTTATAAAAACATCTTCCTTTTATGTTTCATAATACTTTCTCAAGCCAAGATAGAAATAAGGATAATGGAATAAACATGTAAGCCATTGATATATCTATTTCAAGAATCATTTTTATAAATGTGTATTGAGGCATTTATATTTTTTATTAATATAGTCATACACATATGTTGACACGTACAATTAGTGTAATGTGATCTCAACTTCAGTTAATTTTTATGTACAGTACTGAAGATTATCTGTTCACATAATTTGTATGCAAATACAGTATTGATTTTATTCACATTAATAAATTTACTTCTGCCTTATATGATTACATACTACAGTATATGGTTTTATAAGGGCAGTGCTCTTTTGGATACTATATATGTGTATTTCCCAAAGGAAGGAGCCTTCTGAGCTCCAGGTTTAATTGTTTTGTTGTGTACACATGCAGCAATTCAAACAGGGCTGGTAGCTCTGTATTCAGAGTCCTCGTTGTATGATGATAATAACTTGGAAACTGCTGGAGATCTCATGCAAAATAAATCAGGTAGAATTTCTTACTCAGTGATATCCTGTATGTTTTAGATTTCATTTTCTTTCAACTGTACATTGCACTTGCATGCTCTTTCTTGTTTCACTGTAACCTTTTATACCTACTATACATTGCTTCCATTCAGTAATAATTTAAGCCAGCTTACAAAAATTTTCCCAACTGCTTTCTCAACCATCTGGTTTTTCTTCACTTTGCATTTTTCATGAAGCATTTCTGATCATGATACTATTTATTATTTTGTTTACATTCGGTATAGTATCCCTCGTAACAAGTTTTCCGAACATTAAATCCTTATTATTTGTAAATACCATAATAAAGCCTTTGCTGTTAGGGAATTATCACACCAGTTGATTACTGAATAAGAGGCAAGGCCCAGGAGCTTGTACTCATTCCCTGCATGGAGTGTACATTTAAGCATGTACATAAAACCTTCTGACGACCATAATTTTAATAGAAATGCAAGTTTTTTATTTTTTTATTCAGATATCTTATCCTACCTTCTCTTTTGTTTTCATTCAAGGTTTAAATCTTGTTTCTTATTAGTTATTTATTCATTTGGGAAAAAAATATCAAGAGCAGGCAGCAATATTTTTTTTAGTTTGATTCTCTTGCTATATATTAAGGGTACATATGCAGTAGTTATCTAGTCATTTCTGTCCATCTTTTAAATCTATCCATTGATCTTTCCACATCACACGCTCAGACAACCACATCTGACAGACAAGTCGTTGATTTTTGTGCTGTGATCAGCAGTGGTGCCAATTGCTATCATATTTGCATGTTTTAGATACTGTTGTCTATAGCACCACACGTCAGTGTTTTCTTCATTCCACACTGTTGTCTATAGCACCACACGTCAGTGTTTTCTTCATTCCACACCTTTACCTTAAGGTTAACAGCATCACTGAATGAGTCATCATATGACAAAGACCCATGATAGGCAGTTTTCCTCTGTGAATGCAGCACCATAACAATGCATCACACATAGCTGGAAGCATCTGTAACATACAGATACATTCTTGTTTAACAACCTTTATTAGGCACCAATATACAGTATAATTTTTGACAACTGAAGGAGTTGGAAGGTAACAGAATTGCTTGGATTTTTTTTTGCTTTATCATACACAGTATACACAGTAATAAGATCAAATAAGTAGCATATAAAGTAAATTATATTTTTATACTATATAGTTGTGAATTATTTATGCCAATTATAAATTTGTCATAATGTATTGTTTATAACTTTGATGGCCTTCATAACAGCTATACAGACTGCACTAGCTGTAGCCTTTGCTCACAATACCTCCAGCTTCAAGAATTCTACACTCTCTGGTGAAGGCAAAGTAGAAGAAGCAGTGACAGAGGAAGTGTGGGTAGAGTGGAATATGTATTCATCAACTGGTTGGATTGGTGTTTTTCTTGGACTTATAAACTTCTTCCTCTTCTTCCCATGTGTTTATCAGGTTAGTCACATTTAGAGTATAAAATAACCTTCATCATTTATAATAAAATTGCAGTGAAAAGTTTTTTTTATTATCTATTGCCTAAGACTTTGACATGCATCTTTAAAGTTATAGTTAATATTTTTCACTAATAAATTTTAAGATTTTTTCCTTTTATCTTAATATCCATTTTACTTCTACAATGTTTCCTTAAAATAGGAATTTTTTTTTATTATGTTGAGTGCTAATTAGTCAAGGGTCTAAAACACAGTAGCTCTAAATAAAGGCTCACCTACTGAGGGGATTGACATTTCCATTACTTTTGTTCTTATATCAGATTTATACACCATATTGCAATTTTTTAGCAGTTTCGATAATTTACAAAGCAAATTATTTATAAACGTAATTTTACAGGAATGCCCAATTGCAGCCAGAGAAGCAATGCTCCAAAAGAGAATGTTAAAGGATAACAGCACAACACTACCAAAGCCAGATTATGTGTGTGTGATTGGAGTACTTTTCTCTTTTTTCATTTTTCTCTTTATTTATGTATTATTGGAAACTATTATTGTACCTATGTGTATTGATCTGTATGCCTGGTCAGACGAAAAAGCTATAACTATTGTTGGAATTGGTCTTAGTTTGGCAGGTGCATTATCTATAATTATGTATGCACTAACAAGTGTTTTGACGAGACGATTTGACGAACGTAAGGTTTTTATATTTTTAGGATTAATACCAATGACATTAGGTATGATACTTAATTTTCCAATGGGAAATACATATCCTAAAATTAAAAACTGTACAATTGAATCATTGCTTCATGAAAGTTTTGATAGCACTTTGACTTCAATTCCAGATCCTTTAGAATTGTCTTTAACAACATTGCCAGGAGTACACAATATAGCTAAAAATGAAAAGCAACCTTTTACACTATTACCAGAAGAATTTGGAATAATTAATAAAGACTGGTACCTTCAACACCATCAACCATTGTAGAAGAAATGAGTTCCACTAGTAAAATGCCAGAGGCTTCAGTGTTTCTCGGAAAAACTGATAAGATGAACATTATTGATGAAGAAATGGCATTCTCTACAGTCTCGTCACTTATGTTGAACACCATTGGCAGTGACATGGAACTTTCAGCACTCATCTCTCAAATGAATACTACAGGTTCAGAAGACAATATTCATGCAAGAAGACGAAGACATATAATTAGAGATGGGGTCTGCCACGATCTGGGGTGCCCACCAGAACAAGAGTGGTGTTATTACACTCCTATTATTGAAATCCCCCAGCTGGCAGTTTCAGCATTTTTAGCAATAATTGGTTACCCTGTTGCTTTTACATTATCAAGTTCATTTTTTTCTAAACTTCTAGGCCCTAAACCTCAAGGAGTTTGGATGGGAATTCTTACCAGCACAGGAGGTTTATCCCGTGTTGTTGGTCCTATATTTGTATCCTACTTGTACACAGCATTGGGTACCAGGTGGACATTTGGTATACTGTTTTTATTAATGTGCATTGTAGTTGTTGAAATCTGTTTCTTATATCCAAAATTGATACCCATGAAAATATGTAGAGCAAAATGATAAAAAGAGAACCACTCGCAGTATTAGAATAGATTTAAAAAACAAATGGTACTTAACCTAATTATCATCAGATATACAAAGTTATTTCTAAAAGCTATTTATACAAATGTTCTACATGTTAAATTTGACATTAAGAATTCTTTTTAAGAAGGAAAAATATCTTACCATGAAAACAAACCTGTGCTTGGTTTAGTGCTTGGTTATGATTATAATAATAATCATGGGAAATAGATACACTATTGTATCCTGTACTATTGTTACAGCTAGACAATTAGAATTTAACATGCAGTATAACACAGTATTCAACTTATTTGTAGAACCCTTATCCAATGTTTATTGCAGAAATCTTCAAAGAATAAGTGTTGGGGAGTTTCTGGATTTTTTTTATGATCTATGGCATATTAGGTATAGATTGATTTGGAATGCAGTGATAAAAACACACGTCAACAAGATTAAGTAATACACTGCATGCACTTTGAAAAAGGAGTAGGGATATTGAGGTTTCGTGATTCAACAGAGTCAATCACAATGGTTCTTTCTGGAAAGGCATCTAATCAGAATGATGGTGAAGGTGCTTTCTTCTCTGGATAACCCTTTCTTGGTAAAACATATTGATAAAAACTATATATATAATCCATGAAGAGCTACGTAAATTTTTTAAATTATTTAGTTTTTTGTCTTAAAATATTTTCTACTAAATATGTTACTTAACCCAGTGATGACTCAAGAATGTCTTAGTGGTAAGACTTTGGCTCCACTCCGGCCTGTATAAAAATGTATCCATCACATCTTGCTTGTCTCTCCTAATCAGTTGATCAGTGTTAGCTGATGCTGAGCTTACTTTACTTTTCACTTCATTTTTTACAATATTGTAATAAAATTATTCAATGTGGTAACAGTGATGTGTTTCATGTAAAGGACTAATGTGATAATAACCTCTTCAGGATACCCACCTTACTGTACTTAGTGAGGACTGAATTAACATGGAACAGAAGTCAGCCTGGTAAATGCTTACTTAGTGTGGATGCTGAGTATGTCTTTCAAATACTGCCAAGGTTTCTGTTTTCACTTGATGCTATTCAATAATTGTACTGTATGACCCTGGTTTTATGCTTAGTTTTGATTATAATAATAATTTTTTTTTTTTTTTCAACAAGTCGGTCGTCTCCCACCGAGGCAGGGTGACCCAAAAAAGAAAGAAAATCCCCAAAAAGAAAATACTTTCATCATCATTCAACACTTTCACCACACTCACACATTATCACTGCTTTTGCAGAGGTGCTCAGAATACAACAGTTTAGAAGCATATACGTATAAAGATACACAATATATCCCTCCAAACTGCCAATATCCCAAACCCCTCCTTTAAAGTGCAGGCATTGTACTTCCCATTTCCAGGACTCAAGTCCGACTATATGAAAATAACCGGTTTCCCTGAATCCCTTCACTAAATATTACCCTGCTCACACTCCAACAGATCGTCAGGTCCCAAGTATCATTCGTCTCCATTCACTCCTATCTAACACGCTCATGCATGCTTGCTGGAAGTCCAAGCCCCTCGCCCACAAAACCTCCTTTACCCCCTCTTTCCAACCCTTTCGAGGACGACCCCTACCCCTCTTTCCTTCCCCTATAGATTTATATGCTTTCCATGTCATTCTACTTTGATCCATTCTCTCTAAATGACCAAACCACCTCAACAACCCCTCTTCTGCCCTCTGACTAATGCTTTTATTAACTCCACACCTTCTCCTAATTTCCACACTCCGAATTTTCTGCATAATATTTACACCACACATTGCCCTTAGACAGGACATCTCCACTGCCTCCAACTGTCTCCTCGCTGCTGCATTTACCACCCAAGCTTCACATCCATATAAGAGTGTTGGTACTACTATACTTTCATACATTCCCTTCTTTGCCTCCATGGATAACATTTTTTGACTCCACATAATAATATTATTATTAAATAATTATTCTAGAAAAAGACTAGGAAACAAGTAGTTATATTATTAGAGGTATACCTAGAGTATACCTAGAAGGTGTTGCAGAGGTACATAAAATTTTTTCACTTTTTTTTTTTCAACAAGTCGACCATCTCCCACCGAGGCAGGGTGACCCAAAAAGAAAATACATTTATCATCATTCAACACTTTCACCTCACTCATACATAATCAGTGTTTTGGGCTAGTAACCCCTTTTCCTGTATAGCCTACTAAAAAGAAATATTTTTTTCACATGTCCTTTATTATTATAGATACTCAAACTTTTGTTCACAAGTAGTTACTCTGATTCACTTGAGAAGAGTCACTATGTTTGAACAAAACATCACATACTCTAAAAATAAAGCTTCTTTTGCTTTCTTTAGTCTTTATCACTACTTGTTGCCACAGTTTCACAAATAATTATCTGTGAATCACTGTGATCATCTCTCATTTCTTAAGTTTTATATGACCTCCAATAGGTTTTTCAAGTCATGAATACAGTACTGTAATAAAATGATTTTAAATGATTATTAGTTATGTTATTATTTTATTTGTCATGTGCATAACAGATATTAAGTGCTTGCACAAATTGTTTATTCCTGAAAAATGAATATCAAATGATTGAATGAGCAATATATTTAATTAACAAGTTATTTATAGTATGCTCAGATGTCTATACTAAATGCCTATTATGAAGAGTTTTGCATCTCCAAGGATCAGGCTCTGAACTATTATACCACTGTATTAACACTGTAACCACACCAAATTATCCTTGAAGTTATGTTTCAGTACCCTCTACAGAGGTCTCTTGATGCTGGAAAGGGTTCTTGAGACAATTTGGGTCAGTCTAGAGAAATGGAGGATATGTAAAATTCCTTGAATCAAGAACACCTCACCAGCTTTAGGAAACCTTCCTTGAGGTTATTATTATATGCCTGTATCATATCTCATTGCACTTTGCAGCAGGACTATTCATTTAGTTGGAAGACTGGTTGATATATACATCTGTTTTTACTACATTGGTCATTTTCCACCAAGATAAGACCCAAAGAAGGAAACCCATTCACCATCATCATTCAGTATCTCTTTTGCTAGAAGTATACAGACATCGCCCATCCTTCAGTATTGGTGCTGTATGTACTTCCTACCGTCAAAATTGCATCCTCCTTACCCACCCTTCAGGGTGAAAATTACTGCACTTCATGACTCACGAAATTGTAATACAATTGCTAACAAACCATGGTATAGATGAGGTTTGAACCCATTTGTGGTCACAGTGAGACCTATGCTAACTTCCCTATGGTGTATAAATATGCTGAGTTGGATGAATCTTTTTGCCCAGTGGCTCACACACTGGCCTGGAATTTTACGACTCACTCACCATGGGTTCATACCACACCCATACTGTGGTTTACTGTACTTTCTGCCTTCAAAACTGCAACCTCCCCACCCATCCTTCAGAGTACAGGCACTTTACCACCCACTTCCAGCACCCAAATCTGACTAATTGGTCTCCCTAAACGAATTGTAAACCTAAAATCACTTCACCTACATGTATTTACCTTCAGAAAATTAATTTTTATTTCATATATACTTGTATATGGTTATGTACAATTATTATTTATTTCCTCTAAGGTTTAATAAGAAACAAACAGTAATAAATATGTGAGGACTTATGCGTAATGCAAAATATTAGTACATATACTGTATCACAGTAGAATCCCCGTGTCCACTGATTCGGTATCCACTTTTTCAGTTATCCAGTTTACTATGGCCCAAAAATGCCTCATATTTTTTTTTTTTTTATTAACACATCAGCCTTCTCCCACCAAGGCAGGGTGGCCCAAAAAAGAAAATCTTTCATCATCATCATTCACTCTATCACTGTCATGCCAAAGGCACGCTTACACTACAGTTATAAAACTGTAACATTAACACCCCTCCTTCAGAGTGCAGACACTGTACTTCCCATCTCCAGGACTCGAGTCTGACCTACCGGTTTCTCTGACTCCCTTCATAAATGTTACTTTGCTTGCACTCCAACAGCACGTCAAGTCCTAAAAAAAACATTCATCTCCATTCGCTCCTATCTAACATGCTCATGCATGCTTGCTGGAAGTCAGAGCCCCTCACACACAAAACCACCTCTACCCCCTCCCTCCAACCATTCCTAGGCTGACCCCTACCCCGCCTTCACTACAGATTTATACATTCTTGAAGTCATTCTATTTCGTTTCATCCTCTCTGCACGTCCCAACCATCTCAGTAACCCCTCCTCAGCCCTCTGGATAATAGTTTTGGTAATTCCGGGCCTCCTCCTAATTTCCAAACTACGAATTCTCTGCATTATATTCACACGACACATTGCCTTCAGATATGACATCTCCACTGCCTCCAGCCTTCTCCTTGTTGCAACATTCACCACCGATGTTTCACACCCATGTAAGAGCATTGTTATAACTATACTCTCGTACATTTCCCTCTTTGCTTCCCTGGACAAAGTTCTTTGTCTCCAGAGGCTACTCAGTGCACCATTCACCTTTTTCCTCATCAATTCTGTGATTCACCTCAAATTTCACAGACCCATCTGCTGACATGTACACTCCTAAATATCTGAATACATTCACCTCCTCCATACTTTCTTCCTAAGAGAAACCACGTAGTGCTTCCCATCATTGAAAAAGTGCGTAATTTATTTTGCATAATTTATCAATTAAACTTTATAATAGGTATGTATAGGGCTTATATATAGGGTTTGCTAGTATCCACGATTTCGGTATCTATGGCAGGTCCTTGGAACGTATCCCCCACAGATACAGGGGTCATACTGTACAAAAAAAATTCTATACAGATGTCATATTACTTATTCTGCTCGCAAGTTGAACAAAATGGTACAAGAGCCAAGACCTAAGCAGAGATGGATACTATAATTTTGCTTAATAGAGATTCTTTGAAAACACAATAGAACTTAATGCTAATTTGCACAACTTTTTCACAAGTTTACTAACCATAAAGTACTGTGCACCCCTTCCAATAGGGCTTACAACTAGAAAATTATATATGTACACTTGCCACAACAAAATACATACATTGCTTCTAGACACAAGACAAGAAATAAGTGTCTGATATGTCACATGTTCAAGCTATCCTCATCAGGAACTCCATGCAAATAAAAGGCCTTAAAATTTGGAACCCTTCCAGAAGATGCAGAAAGTTTCCCCTTCAGCCATCTTCTCCAGAAATATACTTAAAAGGCACCTCTTAAGCCTGACCTGAGCCCTTCTTAGATAAACTGTTAAAACCTTTTGCTCCAAATCATGTTTGTAATTATACTGATGTTCTCACTGTTACCAATCTGTTTCAATGTGTGTATCAACTGAGAATATGTTCTACATTAGTATTCACTAATCCCAATGTTATACCATATTATTACACAAGAACTAAACTAACCTGTTGTACAGTTGTCCAGTAATTATAAATTAAAGGCTGCCTGAAATGCTCTGTATAACAAGGGGCTTTCTATAAAGCAGTGTATATGTTACTTAATCCTGCATCACTTGTGTACTGTACCATACTTTATATAAATGAAGTTGTTCGTTAAACCTGGGGAAATGGACAACAGGATTTCTTTTAAAATAGGAATTGTTATATTAGGTTTTACTGTATTTATTGTATAGTGCAACCTCCAAATTCACCAGAACTATGTTCCTAGAATCTAGAGTTAGCCAATACAGTACCACCAAAGTTTCCATATGCAGTAATTTAATTTTCTTAAAAACATAGTACTTATTAGTATACAGTATATTTATTCTTTCTTTCAACAAACTGGCTGTATCCCACCAAGGCAGGGTGGCCCAAAAAGAAAAACAATGGTTTCTCTTTTTAAATTTAGTATTATATACAGGAGAAGGGGTTACTAGCCCCTTGCTCCCAGCATTTTAGTCACATCTGACGACACACATGGCTTACGGAGGAAGAATTCTGTTCCACTTACCCATGGAGACAAGCAGAAATAAACAAGAAGAACTAGTAAGTCAACAGAAGAAAACCAGAGGGGTATGTATATACATGTACATATGTGCTTGTACATGCATGTGTAGTGTGACCTAAATGTAAGTATACACAAATAACCCGCACATAGAAGAGAGGAGCTTACGACGACGTTTCGGTCCGACTTGGACCATTTACAAAGTCGAAGCCAGGGCTAAGATTCATACAAGGAAAGTTGTGTATTAGAGAGGATTCAACTAGATGGTGACTGTTAGAGTTGGAAGCAGGGAAGACAGTTTTAGCAGAAGACCAGTCAATAGGATGGCTGTGATCTCTGACATGACAGAACAGAGCATTGTTAGTGTCGGCAAGCCTAACACTATTTTTGTGCTCCCTAAGTCCTCCTGTCCTCTTCAATACTTTGGAGAAACTGGTCGATCTCTTTCTGACAGACTTAGGGAGCACAAAAATAGCGTTAGGCTTGCCGACACTAACAATGCTCTGTTCTGTCACGTCAGAGATCACAGCCATCCTTTTGACTGGTCTTCTGCTAAAACTGTCTTCCCTGCTTCCAACTCTAACAGTCGCCATCTAGTTGAATCCTCTCTAATACACAACTTTCCTTGTATGAATCTTAGTCCTGGCTTCGTCTCTGTAGATGCCTTCCTCTCCCACTACATTGTAAAATGCTCCAAACTTCAGAACACCCGTGACTTAACCTGATTCCTCATTTTTCCTTCTTCTCCCTCTTCCCCTTTCCTCTTTCCTTTTTTTGTCTTTCTTCTGTTGCGTGTTTCTGTTCCTTCATTATTTATTTCATCACTTCCCTTTCCCCCCACCTCTGTGCACTTTCTCTCCCTCTGTGGGCACCTAGCTCCCTTGCAGTGCTCCCCTTTCTTTGTATTTGACTGGCTCCTCCTCATTTCCCCCACTACTACTACTACTTAACTACTACTACTAACTACTACTACTAACTACTACTACTAACTACTACTACTAACTACTACTACTACTAACTACTACTACTACTACTACTATACTACTACTACTACTATACTACTACTACTACTACTACTACTACTATACTACTACTACTACTATACTACTACTACTACTATACTACTACTACTACTACTACTACTACTATACTACTACTACTAACTACTACTACTATACTACTACTACTACTATACTACCACCACCACCACTACCACCACCACTACTACCACCACTACTTCCACCACCACTACTACTACCACTACTACTACCACTACTACTACCAGTACTACTACCACTACTACCACTATTGCTACCACCACCACTACCACTACTACTAACACCACTACTACTACCACCACTACTACTACCACCACTACTACTACTACCACCACTACTACTACTACTACTACCACCACCACCACTACTACCTCTTCCTGCCTATATATAGCCGTCCTGCTCCACTTCGGGTTAGTGTGACTTTGTAAATGGTCCAAGTCTGACCGAAACGTCGTCGTAAGCTCCTCTCTTCTATGTGCGGGTTATTTGTGTATCGTTCCAGTCACGGTATTGTGCCTTTTTTTTTTTTTGTTATAAATGTAAGTAGAAATAGCAAGACATACCTGAAGTCTTGCATGTTTATGAAACAGAAAAAAGACACCAGCAATCCTACCATCATGTAAAACAATTACAGGTTTCCTTTTCACACTCACTTGGCAGGATGATAGTACCTCCCTGGGTGGTTGCTGTCTAACAACCTACTACCTTCAATATAGTATATTATATTCATGAAAAGCTGCTAAATGCCCATTTTTCTATTATATAAGTCATTTGCTGTAGATGAATTGTGTCTTGCTTTATATGTCAAGTACAGCACAAATAGGTCTGGCCAGAGGCTGGATGGAGGACTGCATGAACACATCCTTGCCAGGAAGACACCAACAAGCTACAATATTTCTGTTTACAACACTAGTGTATACAATATACTATAAATTTTTTAACACTTGAGTTGTCTCCCACGAAGGTAGAGTAACCCCATAAAAGAAACACTTTCAATATCATTCATTCATTTATTAGTTGTCTTGCCAGAAGTGAGCAGGCATCACAATTCAGATGACCCTCTGAGCTGCAACATCCTCCCCCCTTCAGAGTGCAGGCACTGTACTTCCTACCTCCAGGACTTCTCCAGCTAACCAGTTTACCTTATATCCCTTCATAAATATTACCATGCTTGCACTCTTAGCCGAACATCAAGCCATAAAAACCACTTGTCTCCAATCTCTCTGATCTAATGCGCTCACACAAGTCTGCTGGATCCTCAAGTACGATGCTTACACTATCCATATCCATGGTATGTCGTCTTTTTTTTTTTATAATTTTACTGTGTTTATCTGCAGTCTGATCAGTCTGCCATTTTATATTTACGGTATGTTTGATTTAGTATTCATAACAAAGCATTTATGTGCCCTGTTTATTTTATTGAAAGCTCCAACTGGTAGAGGAGCACCCTGTGGGTAGAGGGGAACCCTGTGGGTAGAGTGGCACCCTGTGGGTAGAGTGGCACCCTGTGGGGAGCAGCACTGTGGGGGAGTGGCATCCTGGGAGTAGTACACCGTGTGGGTAGAGTGGCACCCTGTGGGTGCCACTCTACCTACTGCCGATAAATACAGTAAAATATAATAAAAAAAATGACATACCATGGATATGGATAGTGTATGCATCGTACTTGAGGATCCAGCAGACTTGTGTGAGTGCATTGGATCTCTACCTACTGCACAGTATAAGAAAAATTTAAATGTTCACTCATTATTATAAGGTTTTTCTTAAAAAACTTTATTGTCAGTAAGCACAACTTGTTGTAGGTAGCTTTAATTTCTTTGGTTAGTGTTTATATTAGATCTAAAATATAGAATGCTGCATAATACACGATAAATTGAGTTCTGAGAGAAAACACCAAATGCTATATGGCTGTGCAATTTATAAGAATTTTATAAATAATGTTAAATATTTTTGTATTAATAAATTAAAAAATAATTAATTAAAATAAAATGTTTATTTTCCCTGAAGATGGTATATTGTGTCAAGCACTGGCTCAACTGCCATACCACACTGAATGCATTGCTTCCCATCCGGTCAGCAAAGTTAAGCAACGCTGAGTTTGGTTAGTACTTGGATGGGTGACCGCTAGGGAACACCAAATGCTGTTGGCATAAATCTTTAAGTCAGTACCTGACCAGCCATGTGGGTAGAGTGGCACCCACAGGGTGCCACTCTACCCACACGGTGCTACTACTCACAGGATGCCACTTCCCCACAGTGCTGCTCCCCCCACAGGGTGCCATTCTACCTGTGGAAAATACTGTATATATTTTCCAGAAATACAGTTATATGTAAATAGATGGCCATACTGTATTTAATATTTGTCATAGAAAATGGGAAACTGAGCCTGCGTCTGCACAGAAGGACAGTCGCCATTGTTGTTTGAATTTGGATTAGAAACGGTGTAATGGGAAGAATTTTTCGTGCTCTAGAGGTTAAAATTGGGTTGACACCTCTCAAATAGGAGGCGAAATTGTTGGATGTGCATTCCTGCATAACTTGAGATATCAGGCGACTGGACAAGACAGCTCCAGGAACCTCAGATAAGTCTGTTATGTTTAACTCTGGCCAGTGTTATTTTCATAGATAGACAGTGAGGTTTTCTGAGTATGATACACATTAATCTCCAGTCAAATTGGTGAGTGTTATGATTAAGATATATTCTCCTGTTGTATAAATGTGTATATATATATATATATATATATATTTCAAGTTGGTCGTCTCCCACCGAGGCAGGGTAACCCAAAAAAGAAAGAAAATCCCCAAAAAGAAAATACTTTCATCATCATTCAACACTTTCACCACACGCACACATTATCACTGCTTTTGCAGAGGTGCTCAGAATACAACAGTTTAGAA